TACAGAGAGAGAGAGAGAGAGACTTAAGTTATGGCATCTCACTTTGACAAGCATGGCAATGTGCGTGTGTGTGTGTGTGTGTGTGTGCCTGCGTCGGCATTGAAAGAGCCTAGTGACAGTGATGAATCGAGCTTGTAAGCAGGTCTCACAAAAGACTGAGCCATTGAGAGGTGATAAACAGAGCGGCTGGCTATCAGATGTGTGTGTGTGTGTGTGTGTGTGTGTGTGTGTGTGCTCACAGGTGCTGAGAGAGAGCCAGAGGCGTTACAAACACACCCGCAGCAGATCGAGCAGATGCCGTACACACACTGCTGTTCAGAAGTCTGGGATCAGTTAGAGTTGTAATGTGTTTTAAAGGGTCATGAACCCCCCCACTAAATTAACCAGTTTTCTCCAACAGTTAAAATGATGGGATGCTAAAATTGTCTTCTATGATGTGCAACACAAACACCTCTGCTAAAATCTCAGAAAAAGTAGTCTGGGGTTTCATGACCCTTTAAAGAAGTCTCTTCTGCTCATCAGGGCTGCATTTATTTGATCAGAAACACAGACAAAAAACAGTAATATTGTGAAATATTATTATAGTGTAAAACAGCTGTTTTCTATGTGAATATGTGTTAAACTGTAATGTATTTCTGTGATGCGCAGCTGTATTTTCAGCATCATTACTCCAGTCTTCAGTGTCACATGATCTTCAGAAATCATTCTAATATGCTGATTTGTTATCAGTGCTGGAAACTGTTTTGCTGCTTCATTTGTTTATTTTTTTTTTGGAACCTGTGATACTTTTTTTCAGGATTCTTTGATGAATAAACAGTTATAAAGAATAGCATTTGCTTAAAATAGAAATCTTTTCTAAGAATATACACTACCGTTCAAAAGTTTGGGGTCAGTAATTTTATTTGTTTCTTTCTTTTTTGAAAGAAATGAATGCTTTTATTCAGCAAGGATGTGTTAAATTGATAAAAAGGGATGATAAAGACTTTTATTGTTAGAAAAGATTTCTATTTTAAATAAACTGTTCTTTTTAACGTTTTATTCATCAAATAATCCTGAAAAAAGTATCACAGGTTCCACAAAAATATTGTGCAGCACAACTGTTTTCAACATTGATAATAATCAGAAATGTTTCTCGAGCAGCAAATCAGCATATTAGAATGATTTCTGAAGATCATGTGACACTGAAGACTGGAGTAATGATGCTGAAAATACAGCTGCGCATCACAGAAATACATTACAGTTTAACAGATATTCACATAGAAAACAGCTGTTTTAAATTATAATAATATTTCACAATATTATTTTTTCTGTATTTCTGATCAAATAAATGCAGCCTTGATGAGCAGAAGAGACTTCTTTAAAACACATTACAAGTCTCACTGATCCCAGCTCATTGCTGATCTCGACTGCATCAGATTAGTTCATCCTAATCAGCAGCAGGCCTTATATTAAGAATTGATGCTCCACGTGGATTCTGGTCTTTCTCTTAATGAGCAGGATGCAGCGTGATGCATAATTTAGATCTCAGCGGATGCTCGTGATTGTTGACCCTGCATCTCAATGACACGCTGTCTTCCAGATCATCTACAACACGCTGAGTTTGTGAGTCACGGTTCTGTCAAAGCCATGCTTTTCTGACACTAGAAACATGCTCTCATAGTCACCTTTAGTGCTTTATACAACACAAATACAGATTTACAGCAATAAACAGGAAAATAACAGAATCAATGATGGAAACTCAACCCTACAGAAGACAATCATCATCCAGCTTCATTCAGATCAAGTTTTGTTCTCATCTGATGCTGTCAGTCAGTGCAGTCATATCGATAAATTACTGAAAGTTAAGACGCAAACTAAGCAAGCCAAAAATATGAGAATAAACGCTCTAATATCATGCAGAGGTTATGTTATTTCTTATTTGACAGCATCCTATTTCAAATCACATTTCATTTGGACTGTACTTGTGTTCAGTGATCAAATGCCTTGTTGACTTGCATCCATAAATGTTTAAACTTTGAATGTAGAGCAAGTGTTGCTTTGGATTGTGTATTTGCCACTATACATGTTATAAATCGTTCATACAGCAGATGTCACAGGAGATCCTGTTATACAGTAAATGCAGAAACATCCTTCTGTTTAATAATGACTCTATTGTCTTCTGTAGAGCGAATTTGAATCTTCAAAGCAGAATTTGCAACATTAATAACACTGTTATTTTCATGTTTATCACTCTGAGCAATCTGTGTTGTATAAAGCGCTAGAGAAATAAAGGTGACTGGACTGGAAAACCACGGAGATTTCAGTCCTAATCTAATCTAGACTGCTGTGAACATCTCAGATCCTAATGTAAAACTGAAGGTAGGCTGTTTCTGTAATACAGCTTGTAGTTTTCATGACATTTGGTGTGATTTGAAAAGGAGCCTGTGGATGAGAAGTGGTTTTCTAGTCAATCAGAAGAGCTCTGTGTGCTGCAGAGTGTTTGTTGATTTAGTTTTAGTTGCACAGGTATATTTGACAGCACAAATGTGAGGCTTTGCTGCGTTCAGTTCAGGAGTGATGCATACTCTCAGTACACACACACACACACACACACACACACACACACACACACACACAGAGAGAGTAATGAGGCGTGACGGCTTTATATGCGTGCTGGAGGGGCCCGTAAGTCCCGCCTCCTCCTGGGCAGGAGACCAATAGGCTTCCGCCTGCAGGGGCAGTCTGCTGATGTCACGGCTCTTGTGTGCAGTGGACCAATGGGCTCGCAGCTCCCGCTGACATCAGCCAGCAGTCGGTTCCTCCAGCACACAGCTTCGTTTTCTGCTCAGCTTCTGTGTTTAAATGGAGGCTGCTCTGTCGCTGTAGGAGCTTCTGTGTTTTAGCTGCGCCGCGCGCTGACATGCAGCTCGTCTGAGGCATGATGGTCGTAGACGCTCCTAATCCCAACGGGCCGTTCCCGCCTGTGGCTCTAATGCACTTCAGAGGTGAGTGATCCGGACCCGCGTCACGTCTGATGGGCTGTGAGGGTCGCTCGGCTCGTGTCCACGGCTCATTCTGTGTCATCGTGGCGCTGCTTGAGACGGAGAGCTTTAGTTAGCGTCTCCTGCCCAGTGCCCATCCCCCCAACTCCAGCAGTGACGTCACAGGAAGTGAGGTCACGGCTGAAGGAAGGGTGTGTGTG